GGGGGGCGGGCCGAGGCGGGGCGCTGAGGGGGCCGAGCCGCTGCGGGGAGCGGGGCAGCGCCGCTGCCGACCGCCGCGCCGGGCTTCGGTGGGCGCGGGGGTTGGATCGTGAGGGTGCAGAGTGGGCCGCGATCCCCCTTTTTGTCCTCTTGAGAGCCAAGGGAAGGTGGCAGCTCCCGGGTTCCATCCCCGGAGCACGGTGGTCGTTCCTAAGGGCAAAGACGTGGTCTCTGTCAAGCATCCCTCTTGAAGTCAGCTCACCTGCTTTAGGCTTTCCAATAGGGTTGTGTGCCCACAGTTAAAACAGTTGTGATCCTCACATTTGTAATTGCCCCTGTCTGCTCGAGAGTCCTCACTGAGCCTATCCCTGGAGTGGGGGGAGCAGGGGCTGTGGAAGGTGGCAGGTCACAATCACTCGAGTCACGGCTGCTGGCACGGATCCTCTGCGGAGATTCCCGACGGAAAGCTCGAATGCATCCATGGCGATCCGTGTCCGGAAGGCTTTGCAGGCACAGTTCGGTATCGAGTGTTCTGAAGGAAGAGCCGTGGTACGCCCGGTTCCTTGAAGCAATAGAAGTGAGGGAGAAAAGCTCTTGGCATTACTTACAAAGACTGAGGGACTGCATCTTAAGCCTCCCATATCAAGGATGCAAATGTCTTTCGAATGTTTAGCTGTTTTGACAAGAATCTCATGAAGCAAAAAGAATTAACCACTGGGGATGTGTTAGGAGGCTGGTGGGTTTCCAGAAAGACTTGCTTGTTGGCAAAGAGCATCTGATGTCAGGAGCATCCGTCCAGATGGGCCTTCCTGTTTAAATACTACCACAAAATAGGATAAACCCTGTGTCTTCTAAACATTTGTATACTGTGTGGCTGTAGAATGGTTACCAAAATATCATCCCACTTCATGCTCCAAGGAGTAAATTAGTTGATGTGTTTCTCTCTGTTGTTTCCCATTTTGTTATATTGTCAGAAGTCATGCAGGATGCTGAAGCAGGTTTGTAGCATCCCCACCCGAGACTGCATGATCTGGCTGTGAAACTGCCTCTGTTGCTCTTTCCTTTAGTCTCTATCAGCTGCTGTTGAGTAAGGTTGATGTGGGATGGTTTTGAAGCTGGTTTAAACTTGAAAATGCAGTTTAGTTAAAGCAGGATTTATTTTTGTATTTTTCATTTGATCTTCTGAGCAAAAAGTTACCAAATGAGTTTTGGGGGAGTGAAGGTTTCAGCCTAGAAAATTGAGTTCCTGGAGGCTTTTCTAAAATGAAAACTCTGTTTTATGGTTAAAAGTAAGATCCATGTTCGGAAAATAGGCTAATTGCTAGTGGTTTATTGCAGCTTTAAAATCCAAACAAAATGCCTCGACATTATTACAATTGAAAAAATCCATAGGCCTGTGCTGATTTTTTACCCACTATAACATTATTCTAAACGTTCATCTTTCCTCCTCCCCTCTGGTTAGGGACAATGAACATTTTAGAAGCACCATTTATTACAAAAAACCGAGGTATGAATGACAAACTGTCTCTCTGCCTCTTCTGTTTAACTTTCCATCCACACCTGTGTCTGGCGAGCAGATGGTGTCCTCTGTGGGGACATGCGGGCAGGGGGTGCTGTGGCAGCAGTACTTCAGCATCTTTGCTGAGCAGTCAGGCAGTTCCTGGTAGCCTTTTCCCACTGGTGTGCTCTCTTCCCAGCCCTTCCGGGGATGGAGTTGCTGGCGGTAGTAACCCTTGGGAGAGGTCTGCGCTGTAGAACTAGCACAAAGCAGTGCATGTCTCCTTTTCAAATCTTATCAAATAGCCTTGTGGTGAGTTGGTATTGCCTCCATTCCTTCTACTAAGCTTAGTTTGATAGAGGTGCAGTTGTTTAAAAAAAGTCAAGTAGGAATAAAAACAATATATAAACCTCCATTGCTATGTGAAAGTATTAGAATGCCTTCCTTTCTTCCTAATTTGCTATTGATGTGGCATCTCTAAGTAGTTTATTGATGAAGTGCTCTATTTGCTTTTCACTGCCCCGTTTTGTTCTTGGCCTTATCCCCAGGGCCTGTGAAACCCTTTAGAAATTCCCACTGGTGCTTTGTAAATGAGAACAAAGCTAATCACCTCCTGCATCTCTCCTGCTGCTGAAAGAAACTAGCAGTCTGCTCAGTGAGTCTTTCTGCTCAACAATACCACATTTTCAAAGTCAGTCAGAATATTCTCTCTGTGAAGTGTGTTTCCTCAGGGCTCCTAAAAGTGATGGAGAATTAAATAAAGGCCTGACATAACCAAAACCAATTAAGGACAATTCACAAGACTGTTGTATAACTGATGCAAAATAAGTGTCGTTCAGTCTGGTAACCTACTTTTGCTTGCTACATCCCCTACCATTATCTTACAAGTATCATCATTTGGATTTGGTTTTTTCTTTTTTTTTTTTCCTTTCCTTTTTTTTTAATGAGAGAATGTTCTGTCATTTTGTGATTTTAACACAGGAAACAGTAAAATAAAATTGACATCATGGATAAGTAATAGAATTATCTGTGTTCATCTTTAATGCTGTGTGGCTGACAGAGCTGAGTGATATCTGAAAGAGAGAATGACAAGGAGCTTTCTTGAATCAAGGGTGTAAAAGATTATTTCCAAGTAAAAGACAAGCAGACATCCTCCAATACTTCCTGAAATTGTATGTAGTGGTAGCATATACAAAGTGAAAAACACATAGCCCCAGGCTTTCTTAGGTGTTTAGAGGCTGTCAAAGCTGTGGTGAACACAGCACAAAGAGGATAATATTATGTACATGTAAAACATGATTAAGTGAGGGGAAGTAAGACTTTTGTTTCAGTCCTTCTGGGTGAAAGTGAGATTCTATTTTGTATCCATTGTTTTTTAAACTATGTGTGCGTTGAATTAAGGGCTTTCTAGCTCTGTATGTATGTGTGGTCGATACATCTGCTATATCAATGTGCCAGATGTTATGAAGCCAGATGTTCTCATTCCTGGATTAGCTCCTCAGCTTTGCTGCTGCACAGCCAAACACAGGTCTGTTGTGTCTCACACTTTGAACATGGGGCTCACCAAAGCTAGGGACAGTCACACATCCCAGACATCCCAGCACAACCTTTTGCAAGGGTCTCATGAGGATGTTTGGCCACGGTCTGTGGCTGCTTGACTAAATGCCCCTGCAGCAGAGAAGGAATCATGTTTCTACAGTAGTCAAAGGGTAGACCGTGAAGGAGGATTTGTACTCAAATGATCCACTCTTAGAAAGCCTGCTCCCCTGCTGCAGTCTTTGTCATAACCTGTCCTTACATGGTACAGCTCATCAGACATTCCCCACCCTCCCCTTCTTCCCATCACACAGCTCATCCCGTGGCTGAAAGGCCTACAAACAATAAGGGAATCAGAGCCCTAATCCCTTCTGAAAATTATCACCTTTCCCTTTTGCTCCAATCCCAACATTAAAATCTTATCCATCCTATAACTAGTTCTCTTTGCTGCAGCTCTATAGATCTCCCATATTTTTGCCACTATACTCATATATTCCTGTGCTCTCTTAGACAGCACGTTAAATGGTTCATGGCAAAGTCAGCTTCACACACTGTGCCTTCTCTAGTCTAGTCCCCATCAATGAGTCCAAAAAATTTGCAGCATGACTCAGTCCCATAATTGTTCTGAAAACCACACAGCCAGAGACACCCTTGTCTCTCCTTTGATTCACTAAAATGGTTCTGAGATTTATTACATTTTCTTGTCTTCTTGATCTACAGCTTCAGGGCAGTGGGCAGGCGATAAAAGATTCTCAGTGCCTTGGGAAGAGTGGATTGTCACTGGTGAGATCCCACTGTGATGTATGATCATCAAATCACACTGGAGGTGGCATGTGTTCCTTTTGTCAAGGCCCATCAGCTGATAAAGTATGAGGTCAGAAACAGCAAGAGCTTTGGCACAGGCAGAGCGGTTGATGAAGAACAACTCGCTGTGGCTGTGATTTGGAGCTAGAGCTGCTTGTGGTTGCAAGAACATCTGTTACAAGATGGTCATAGGGTACATGCACAGATTTGGTCCTGCAGATGCATAATGCCTGTGCTGTTGAAGTTGGAAACTAGACAAAACAAAGAGAGGGACT